TTTATTGGAATAAAATTGTAATCATTCACAATTAAACCAGAAATGTGTATTAAAGAGGCAGTTCACCCAAAAATGAAAATTCTGTCATTAACTCACTCTTACTTGTTCTAAATATGAGTTTCTTTTTCTGTTAAAGACAAAAGAAGAGATTTTGAATAATATTGGTAACCAAACACTTGACGGTAGCCATTGACTTCCATAGTATGGAAAAAAATACTATGGAAGTCAATGGCTACCGTCAAGTGTTTGGTTAGCAACATCAAAAATCTAAATATCTTCAAAATCTCTTCTTTTGTGTTTAACAAAAGAAAGAAACTCATGTAGGGTTAGGTCACCTTGAGGTTGAGTTTTTTGGGTGAACTGTCACTTTAAGAAAGTAGTTTAGTTTCATGCTGGCTCCCTCACAATGGCGTTTGTGTTTAAGGGCGATGTATTTCTGCTCTGTTCTTCATCGAGCGGCGGTCCTTATCTGAGCTCGTGTTTCTCACATGACATCAGCTGTTTTCACTGGCCCCTGTGTGACCCGTCTCGGCCCCTGAGAGAGTGCTGGGTTTGGCGGCTCCGGGGCCGTGTGTTTGTACCGCGGTAAACAGCTGGTCGCCGGTGGCTCTGTGGAGCTCAGCTGCTGCAGGAAGAGTAAAACAAGATGCTGAGGGGAAATATCCTCATGAACCTCTCTAGCATGAATTGCAATTTCTATTTTTATTTGATGTGCCTTTTAAACTGCTATTTAGCCTTTTATGTGGTTTTTGTCGTGAAACAGATTCAGCATTGCAGCACTGTTTTAATTCTGCCTTCATGTCCTTTTGGGAAAATGGTACTCGTGAGTTTGATTCCAGTGTGTAAAATGGATCCATTGGGAATTTTGTTCTTCTGGTTCTTTTTTAGCACCAGTGTAATCTCACGTGACCAAACTTTTTGACTATCAGCGCAAAATCTGATATTTGTACTGTATATATTTATATTCATATATTTATTTATATTTATTGGTAGTGCCTTCTACCTATCTAGTACATTTTTTATATTTGTTTTCATTTAACTTAGTTTTCATTATTAATTGTATTATTAAATATGAATTTTAACATTAGTTTATATGATTGATTTGTGTTCTTTTGTCATGTTTATTATTATTTTTTTAGCTTGAATTTGAACCTAAACCTATTTTTTATTATATAGAATTATATATTTTAATATATATTTATATTCATATAGACTTTAAATTTTTGCTGTATTTTCATAATTTTTCATTTCATGCATTTAGTTTATTTTAACTTTATTTTAGTTTGTTTCAGTGGTTTTTATGTGGTTTTGTCTTTGTAATACTTTATACAAATCTTTCTATTTAGTTTGAACTTATGTCATTTTTTGAACTTCAACTTATTTTATTTATGTACAATCAGTTTTATTATTTATATATTTATTAATAATCTGAAGTAGCTTTTATTTGTACATTTAGGTTTTTTATTATACATTTTTGGTTTCATTATCCAGTTTTCATGATTCATTTAATTATTATTAATTTAGTCCGTTTGTTACATGCTTTTGTCATTTTAATTTCTTTAAAAAAATATTTCTATTTGGCTTTATACTTTTTGAACTCTGCTTCAACTTTTTTTTCATTTCAGCTAGTTTTTGCCTAATATTTATATTTAATTTTTAATGATAACAACACTGGTTGTTTAGTGGCTACTTTGTCTGTAACTGATTCTGTAATTCAAAATAATAGTTTTGTAATGTATTTTAGCATGACTTTAATTCAAGTGCTGCCACCGGGAATGATGGGAAATGTAGTTTTGAGCCCTTTAAATATCTAAATATGTAATATTGGTATAAGTATATATAAACAGTGTAAACAATATGTTTAAACAATACTTAACATTCACAATTAAATGGTGATTATGAGCAATACCAATTGGCTTCCAGTATTTGATTCTTTAATTGGTGTTTGTAGTGGTTTCTCACTGATACGATCTGCTCTATTTTTGAGCTCTGTGATCATCTCTGATCACACATGCAGTAAATCTGACGTCTAGAGAGTCTTTCATGTGGTCCTGAGAGACTCGGGGAGTGGTTATCCTGCCGTTACTGTAAACACACACCACACACACACACTCATTTATCTGTCCTAATGGAGCTTCTCCATGTCTTAAGCGAACGCCCGCCTCCCAGAATCAACGGGAGCGTTAACCTCGGCTCGTTTCACTGGACGTGAGCTGGCAGACGCGGGGCGTTTTGGTTGGCAGGAGCGTGAGGTGATGAAATCCAGAGAAGTATTAGAGAGCTGCAGTGTTTGCTCAGGTTGAACCTCTTCCTGCATTGAGCTCACTGCTGAGGAATCAGACCTACAGCGTTTCTGCAACCGCTGCAATCTGAAACCGTTCACGGGTCCATGACTCTAGTTCTTTTTATTAGAATGATACACTGAAAGCTATTGTGATTTATATATTATTATTATTATTTAAAATAATTTTAAAATAGCTCTAAAATAACACAAATTTAAATGCGTGATGTAGTGTTTTAGGTTAAAGGGGTCCTATTATGCTCTTTTACAAAGTCTTGATTTTGTTTTGGGGGTGTACTAGAACATGCTCTCATGCTCGGTGGTTCGAAAAACGCATTATTTTTCACATAATTTACATTATTAAAATACCTTTCTCCCCATCCTGGCACAAACGGCTCGAATAGTTCCGGCTTTGATGAAGGTCCACCTTCCGAAAAACTAAATGTTGTAATGATATTCTAATGAGCCGCTTTGTGATATCATAAAGCCCGGAAACCAAACGCTGTAGTCCAAACGAGCCGTTTGCTGTAGTTCTTGAAAATGGATTTTTTTAAAAACTAAATATCTCCCTTTGGAGTGGACTTTGAGACTAAAATTAAAAAAGTGAAAAAGCATAATAGGACCCCTTTAAATTATTTTTAGAAATTATTATAGTTGTTAATAATAATAATAATATATTTTATTATATTATAAGCAGCACTAATATATATATAATTTTTTTTTTACTATTATTTATATATAAATTAATATATTTATAAAATGGTAGTTATATTCTAGTGTTATTTTCTTTATGTAAAAAAACTACATACCTTTTTTCATTTTGTAATATTTTTAAAATAGATGTATGATTTAAAAATATATAAAAAAAAAATATTTTCAAAGTATGAATGGTCATCTTTTCATATTATGTTCAATTATGTTTCTACTCGAATTCACTTTTGAAATATGAACATTTAAACGGTGGCTGTAATAAAAAACTTGTTTTCAAGACAGATTTATTCAAACATGCATTAAAAATGAATGCAACAGGTTAAGTAAGAATATAATGAATATGTAATATAGTGCATATATTTATCAAGATGCTCCTCTCTAATGTTTTTTTTTCTTCTTATCTTATTATCGAGTTTATGGTCTTTCCATGAGGTACGTGTGACGTTATTGTTTGCAAGATGTTTTATAGACTAATTTTCGCTGTTGAAACGCATTAATTTTTGGTTGCATCAGTACTTTATAAATCCTTCATTTCCCCCTCGTGAATCCTATATGAAAATTCCCATTAGAATCATTTTGCAAATGGTTGCGAATGAAAGCAGAAATGTGTGTGTGCGTGTGTGTGTGTGTGTGTGTGTGTGTGTGTGTGTGTGTGAGAGAGAG